GCCGATCCGGCGGCATTCCTCTCAATAACACTGAAGAAGAAGGAGGAGGAGGAGGAGCATGTGTCTGTCATGCTCCTTTGCGGTTCCCACATCCTGTGCTGGGAATTGTGGGAACCGCAGGGAGCATGACAGACACATGCTCCTCCTCCTCCTTCCTCTTCAGTGTTAGTGAGAGGAATGCCGCCGGACCGGCGAGGCTGCCACCCGGTCCGGCGGCTCTAACATGAAACGGCCGCCCCTCCCTCACAGTGTGCCACCGGACTGGCCACCCGGTGGCACCTGCAGTCCCCCCCCAATCCAGCCCTGCCGCCGGGCCCCCTGAAGGCGGCCCTGGCGGCGGGCCCCCCTCCCGGCCGGGCCCTCGGACCGTGTCCGAAGTGCCCGACCGGTCAGTCCGCCCCTACTCTGAGCTATCCAAATTGGCCCAGTCTGAAATCAATTGTTTCACAAGCAAATAATACTGTGGCAACATATTACCAAGGCATGACTGTATTTTAAAGATATCTATATCATCTCCAGACATCAAACCTGCCTCATCCTTCCAACACTTGTAAAATTTCTTTACAAAAATCATATTACCAATCTCTTCCTTTGCATCTTGCTTATATGCCAAAGCAGTGAATATAGACTTGTTCCAAATTTTAGCACATCTTACTGAAGTACTAAACTCATAATCACCAATTCATTTCAAACCATATAACTCATACTCAGCATCCAATGTAATATTACACGTCATCTCACAAAGCAATATCTTTGTAGAAACACATAATGGGTACCCAGCAGATATGCCAATACAGAAATCACATTTATGGGCACACAACTACACACTCTGTCTCCCTCCTAGGAAACACGGATACACACAATATAAAAGCAATCTTAAACTAACACCTCCAAATCTCCAACTATTCTTGGCCAAAACGCTAGTATTCAACAACTAATAAAACAGTTATTTGCTAGGTTATTTGGCTGTCATTCTTATCAGTATCACTAGACTGAAACAAACTGATTCACATATAATTTAAAACAATACAGCAACATATAAATTAAACCACTTTCAAGTTAAACTGCACACTTATCACACATTATCACAATCACCATTTACACAGAATAAACAGTTAACAGCTGTATTCAGAACATATTATTGGAAGGTATACCAATTTTAGTTTAGATTTATTTTAGGGCTTCTTATGTGTACATTTTCTTAATTAACTTCATTACTTTAATCTACTATAGTATTGTATTTAAAGAAAGGATCCATTTATATAGCGCGCTCATAACTCAACTATTTGTATAAAACTTCCATTAACTAATCTGAGATGATGCTGCATCAACTTAAATCTTACAGAAATTTTTTTGCAAACATCTGGACCAGATTAAACAGACATGGTTTCACCTGAATCTTTCAGAACTCTCAGAGACTTAAAAATTTATACTATACCATGTTTTAAAGGCATGGCAAACCTTTAGACCGGTCAGTCTCCAAGAGCCCTTAGTAACACAGGTAAAAACCTTTGTCCATGATGTCTGATTCAGGCTATATACCACAATTTAAAATAACACATAATGTGAGACATAGAAGACACAAGCAGTAGTTATTACACTGGATCATTTAAAAGGAATCTGTTGCAATAAAAAGGTTAGTTTACAGTGCAAAATGAAGCATGTGTTGGACCGCTGAAAATGTAAATGTTGCTCTGTTATTTTCAAACAAAAATCATATTTACAGTATGGATCCTTTGCAACAAACACACAGGGCAGGGAAGATGTGCTGATTGGTGTTTCTATACAATTAATCCCATATGGGGAATTAACTTTCAAATACTAATGAAGTGACTTTTTGTCTCAGTTATAAAATATACTGAGCTCATCATGCAAACAATGCAACACATTTACACTATCCCACTCTCATAATAAGTGTAGTGGGCTTATAGTATTTTTAAAGCAACAATCATACCAGGCACACAGTTCCCATGTGAAATAACTTACAATAAAACAGAGTAATAAACTTATACTTCTATGCGACAGAAAGAATAAAGCAAAAAGATTTAAGTAGGTCTATCAGGTACAACCTGTGAGTCATTTCTTTTCTAATATACAGTACTGCTATCTTGCAGAAAGATAAGTCCTGCGCTCACTCCCATCACTACTGGGCAGCAGCAAGGACTACAGTACACATCAGTCCCAATATATGGTAAAAACCAAAGAAAAACAAGTTACCTGCGTTCTCTCCTTAAGCCCTATGTATTTTTAAAACCTCAATTTGTTTAAAAGTACTGCTATCTTATATATACACATATACATATACACACACATATATACATATACACACACATATATACATACATATATTGGTCACTCAGGACATGAACTCACATTTCCCATACTGCTGACTCAGAGTGGGGACACTACTAACTTACCAAAGTGTGTCCCCAATATAGACAAACAATCACCCACAAAAAACACTTAAGACAAACAAAGGTGACCGGGAGAAAGAGAAGTTTGGGTTATACTTATAGATCTACAAACTGTGCTGCTCAGAACACCTATAGACTTAATAAACCGGAGACCTCTTATGGTCTCAAAAACCTGTATCTACCTGAGATACCCTGTATCTATCTTAGATACTAACCTGGGTTACCAAAACCCTATAATAAACCGGAGACCTCTTATGGTCTCAAAAACCTGTATCTATCTTAGATACTAACCTGGGTTACCAAGAACCCCTATATATATTTAGACCAAATGTCTAATAAACCGGAGACCTCTTATAGTCTCAATATAACTAGAGTCCTTACACCTTTCCTATCTACTGGATACAGTCTTACTGAACCAAAGGGGGGTCATAGACAATCAGCGTCAAATAAGACACAAAAAGGCTACTCACCGCAAATGGTTTTGCTGATCCAACTTCTATCCCACTTCTGACACCAAGCTGAAAGGGTTAATGTTGTAATGGACTCTAATCCCCTCGGTTCTCGATCCCTCGGTCACCATAATCAACGTTGATGGAGAATCATTGTAAGCAATAACACACGGACAACAGCTTTACAAGACTCTCAAATGAGTGTATTCCAGAGCTGGCTTTTATACATAGTTTGCTTACATTAGCCATGGTATATGCCATTCATTACAGTACAGACTATAAGATTTATTACTTCCTTGTATTACGTTATTCTGACAATGGAAAGATAAGCTTTTGCATACGTCTGGAAAAGAATATCCTTAAAATCGGAATGGGCAAGACATCCTGAAATTTAGCATTGTCTTACATCCTATAGAAGAAATACCTTAGTCTGTCACAGTCAGCATATTGACTTTAAGTATTCAATATCCCTTCAGTCAGCAATAATCATGTTATAAACCTTATAAAAGCATAAAATACATATAAACAAGTTAACTATTTAATATTCTTACAATTACTTAAAGATGTTTTCAATACAATATGCAAACATCTGGATTATATATAGGCCATCAGGGCATACTTTTGATTTTTCTTGATCTCCAAGCCAGTTATAACATTTTGAAAAACATTTATTAAAGTATAACTGAAAGGAATATGCCACAGTACTGGTGAAAGTTTAGTTCGGACATTTGTAATTCACTTGCAGAAGTTTTCTTAAGTGAAAACAACTAAGTATTGCAGGAAACCGTCCTATTTAAGGGAAAGGCGGGTGTGGTAAATTACCAAACTCTATAAATTATTATGTACGCATACACATATAAACTCTGGTCCATCTACTTTAACAAATATTTATTCAGAGACAAAACAACAACAACAACATACAAATAATGACACACAATCTAACTAACTATACCACCAACAACAGCAACAACAACCTAACTAACAATAACAACTACATCTTATAAAATCCCACTCACAGTTCACCATGATAGAAATTAGGCCATGTCTTCTTAAGGGACTGCTCAGTAGCACAGCCAAGAAGGAACAGTAAGAAAGGCATACATGAGCTTGGTCACATGATCCCTGGTCATCATATTAGTTTGATGACAGAATGTCATCACAGCGGGTATTAAAAGTATTTATAAAAGTGGTCATTTATCTTGAAATCTGAACTTTTATTAAATTAATTTACTAGGACATGGATTATCCCCGGAGTGCATCCTGTACTGTTAACCTAGCTTAGCAAACAAATATGTGGATTTAGTTACACCATATGACCATCCCATGTTAAAGTGGCTCTGTCACCTCAAATTTTGTTTGCCAAGCTTTCAAAGATAATAGAGCTTACCTTTGTCAAGATTTGTCAGACGCAGGAAAAATACATAATACATAGTAGTCCATACTTTGTATTATGTTTTAAAAAGAAATAGATCAGCAAAAGAAGAACAGATTGTAGCGGATGGCACTGGGCTGTCCTGAAAATTTCATGTGTTGACTGCATTCGTGTAAACTGCTGGTTTTATATGTGTTTAACCCCTTAAGGACACATGACATGTGTGACATGTCATGATTCCCTTTTATTTCAGAAGTTTGGTCCTTAAGGGGTTAAATAAAGTGTATTCGTCTGATTGTTCAGTAGAATCATTCGAATAAACTAAGGGAATGAAACTACCGAACAATCAGACCTCTCCTGTGTGAAGTGTGCCTCCAATTACCCGTTGCAACAATGTTGCGAATGGGTAATTAACAAGCTATGCAGTAGGTCCTTTGTCTCGGGGTGGCCGCCATTCGGGAAACGAACACGTGGTGGCGGCCATTTTAAAACTCCCGAACAGCGGTGTTTTGCCGTCGAGCCGTCGAGTGTCTGGAACCCAAATCGGACACTCGACTAGGCGAACACCGCTGAGACCTCCACAAGCCCGGTCCGTTCGGTTCCAAACTACCGAACGGCCCCTCGTTCGGTAGATAGAAACAACCGAACTAGGGGATTCATGTGAACCCTACCTGATCTCTGTACCCTTAGCCGTTCGTGTAAATTATTCCCTTGTACTGGGACCGACCGCAGGGCCCCATCGCATGGAACCCAATTCGGCTGTTCTATCCAGCGCGGTCGGTCTTTTTAGTACCTCCATAAATTTCTCGAACCCCTGGTCCGATCTGGGTGATTTTTGGATATGTTGCTCACCCAGATCAGGGCTACCAGGGGATGTGCCATTTAAGGGGGTACCCCTAGGTTTAGGGGTACATCCAGAAACTGGGGGAATTTGGGTACAGTATAAGGGGATAATGATGCAGGCTGAGGGGAGGAGATGTGTGGGAGGTAACTATTGTGGGATTGGGTACTGTACTAATTGATGAAAATCCCTCCCTTGCATGGGAGCATGCTATATAAGGCACTGTGGAATAAAGGTTGCCAGTTCTGCTCCTGATGCTGTGTGTCGTCCAGTCATTGGGATTGCTGTGGGGATACTATTGGATTATTTTGCTTGTTGGAAACTTTGCCTGTGGATTTATAATTTACTTGTTCCTGAGCCTCACTGAGATCATAAGCGGAGATAACCTGGGGAATATTGTATCTCCGCTACACAGATTCTTAAAGAGGAAGAGTAGAAGACACAATATCAGAACGGTAAGTCTCAGGTGAAAGAGCCACTTTAGGCCCACCACTATGTTACCTTACCCCAATACCAGTGGGTCCTATGCTATTTTTAACAGGAGAGGTACACATGCTGACCACAATATTTACTGCTTAAACTGCTTAAACATGGACTCTCCTCAAATGATGCTTTCCTGTCAACTCTTCCAAAGGGGCACCTGGATGGGATGTCCAACCAAAAATGAATCTTGTATAAGATCGAAATAACAACTGACATATATTACATAGTTACATAGCTGAAAAAATACTTGCGTCAATCAAGCTCAGCCTTTCTCACATTTGTTTTTGCTGTTGATGCAAAAGAAGACAAAAAAAAACAGTCTGAAGTACCTCCAATTGTGCAACAAACTAAGTTAAAAATATTCTTCTTGATCCTAGAATGACAGTCAGATATCTCCTTGGATCAAAAAGCTATGACCCCACTAATTAAAAATTATATCCCTGTATATTGTTTTTGCAAGTATTCATCCATTTGCAGTTTAAACATCTGTATAGACTCTGATAAAACCACCCTTGCAGGCAGAGAATTCCACATCCTTATCATTTTTACTGTTAAATAACTCTAAATCTAATTTCTTCCAGTCTAAACCTTATGTCCTATGTATAGTCCTATTTATGAATAGATTTCCAAACAATGGTTTGTACTGGCCCCGAATATATTTGTATAATGTTATCATATCCCCTCTGAGGTGCTGCTCTTCCAAAGTAAAGAGATTTAACTTCTCTTCAGAACTAAAATACTCCATTCCTTTAAATTTGTAGCCCGCCTCTGCCCTTTTATTTGTGCCATAATATCCTTCTTTAGAACATGTGCCCAATTTTGCACAGCATATTCAAGGTGTGTTCTTACCAGTGATTTATAAAGAGACACAATTATATTTTCATCCTGAGAATTAATGCCTCTATTTATACATGATATACTTTGTTGCTATGTGCTATTAAAAGCAACATTTGTTTAACTGCTACTAAGTCCCAAGAGTGCTCTCTTACTTGCAACACTCCA